AAGGTACTTGTAAGCTCATAACCATTTCCCTTAGCAAACCGAAAGTGTGAGTGAACCAGCTGAAACTCCTGTCTTTCTTACATTTTTTAAAGATTTCATGCTCAGTTGAGTGTTCCTCTCAATTAAATGATTATATTGTGATTCCCTGAAAAAGACTGTGAAACTGCAGAGCGTTTGTTGTTGCCTTCAGTGGGGACAGGGTGCCATTCAAGATCTGGAGATCAAACCTGTAAACAGGTCTATATTTTAATAGATTTTAACACTTGAAAGTTTAGTTGTGTCATTTATAAATATTACTTAGTTTCTGACAGCAGTTTAGCCAGAGTTCAGATCCAAAAAGAGATGAATGAGGAGGAGGAAGGACATGCTGGTCTGTGGCATGGGCCAGAGGTAGGGACTGTGTCTTCTAATAGGACATCTACGAGACATCCAACAACATCAACAGGTGATAGGCTCAAAGCAAAGAGAGATGCTTCTTGACACAGTTCAGTGGTGGAATGCCTCACTTGTTTCATGAATATAAAATTGTTTTATATCCACGGGCTTGTATTAAATAACATAAGATGGGAAAAATCTAAATTAGACCTCTGAGCAGAAATGGAGATTTCGTTGGATTTAAATACCAGTGCCACTCATACTTAGGTACTTTGAGATCATGATTGCTAGTCATACGCCTTGTCCTCTGAATTAATTGGACATGATGAACTTTCTTCCTCACAAACCCCAATATTAGAAACTTCTGCAACAAACTGATGTTTTCTGGACTTGCTCATCTGTCATTTTTATTTCCAGAAATGGCTCCAAACCTGGCAAACATTTGTGATATTTGAGAACACACCAAAAGGAGTGAAAATACTTTGGACCATCCTGGGTTTTTTTTATAAGGGATTCTTTACTGGGGATATTAAAAAGGTGTGAGGATACCTCAGGTCCTGTCATAAACACTAGAGAAATCAGTGCCTTAGTCTGTTGATGTCATGCACCGTTGCAAGCTTTTAGCATCAAAGACTGGTATTTCATAGCGTCTATTACTTGGCTCCCGGCATTCATAAAGCATATGGTAAACATGTTTAGACAGTGCCAGTGCCAAACTGTATCATAAATTATATTTGTGCGGAAAAGCAGCATGTACAATAGGAGAACATGATGAATAAGGTGCCTGTTGTTTGTTGATTTCCTAATACATTTGTTTCTCCCAGTAGGCTTTATTTCTCCACGCAGGCTGCTATGCATGTGCAGTGACTCGCGTTACGGCTAAGTGGCTGCTGTGGTTTTGGCACTCCAGCTGTATGCACTGACCGTACCACATGTCTCTGCATTGCAGGAAGCTGATGAAGCACTGCTGTGCAACCTGGAGCTGCAGATCGAGTCCCAGTTCCTGCAGGATGACATTAATGCCACAAAGGACAGATATAAGAAGGTAACAGGCTGAATTTGCTGTCGTCTTTAGATCTTCCTTCTAGAGACATGTGTGAAGCTTTGCCCTTCTCCATGATCTGTTCCGGTGGCAAATTAAAGCAAATCCCGTTTGTGTTTTGGTGGGTAAATACAGCGCTACATATTTTCAGTGTGCACAACAGCTGCAGTGTGGAGGTCAAGCTGGATGGCCGCAAGCGTCCGAATTGACTCCCTCAGGGCCCAATGTCTACACCTGTAGCAATGGCTTGAATTTGTTGTCCTGTTACCATGATTCAACCCAACGTGCTGGTCAAGCTGTCTTCTATTTCATGCTAAGAAGCTATTGCTTTCATCAGAGGGGGATTCCCAATTTTCTGGGCCAGAGCATTCCAGTTAATCAGCAGAAATAAGCCTGTTGCCATATGATTATGCTGCAGCTGACTAACACATGCAGCCCCTTTCTCCTTCCTGGGAGAGCTGTGAGGCTTGGTATGAGGCCACTGTCCCATCTTTGCTGCTTTTGAAAGAAGAGGCTCACTTTTTTGGACCACATCCAAAGGTATTTGTGGTCCTCATTTTGAAAATCTCCCGTGAAATCAGAAATCACAGAATCTTAAATTAAGACTATGAACTATATTGTCACTTTTAGCCAAATGCCCCCTCAGCATGATGAAACTGTTAGCACACATGCACTCAAAATCAGGTCTAAAACAACATTCCAAAACCAAGTCTGAACATGAACTGGACTTTTATATGCTGAAAGAAGTAAATACCTAGGAATAAGCCCGAGAAGTGGAGCACATTGAAGGGCGCACCTTCCTGTGGCATTTTATGATGAAAATGTTTTTTTACTTCACCACAGAACCTTATGGAAATCCAGACCTATGTCAACGTTTTGCAGCAGATCATCCAGACAACCCCTCGTGTGTCCCCTATAAGCCCTGGTGTATGTGAGGTAAGCATGGCTGTCAGTAAATACATGCTGCTTTAAGTAAGAAAGAGTCACTCTTTATTCCTAAAGCATCCCAGATCCTCTAACTCCCACTCCCGAGTTAGACGAAAACTGCAACAACTGTGAGTAAGTACTGAATATGAGAGAAAAAACTAATTGTAGCTTTGGAAATATGTATTAGCCCCCAAAATGGCTAGTTGAAAGGTAGTTGAAGTAGTCGTGCTTCCTATCTGAAGGAATATTTACAGAGTAAATCTTGTCCTGAAGGGGTGAGACGTGGTGAAAATTTGTAAATCAAATAAATTGGTACAGACTAAATGAAAACTTGGCGATTCCCACCAATGTGAGTGGCTATGCCAAGGAAGTTTATTAGTTGGAAGAAGATAATTTCAACATAAGCTGTACTTCTACAGTCCTGCCATCTGGCAGCTTTTATTCTTAAAGCCATGCCACAAGGATTTACTTGAGGTTCAATACCCATCTTTTTATTTGTCTTTTGTCATTTTCTATTTGTCTTTACAGTTTATTTCCAGTAGTGGAATTTCTTTTGGCTCTTTTTAAAAGAGTGAAACATACTTTCTTGTACACATGTTGTTTTCTTTCAACCAGGAAAAACTGATAGCGGAGAGGAGGATCCCTGTTCTGCAGAGCCAGCTGGAGGAATACAAGAGCATCCTCTGCCAGCTACAGGCACAAAAATACAAACTGCAGACAGAGGTACTGCCGTAACTAGCCATAAACACAACCATGACGCTCATGAACTCTGCTCTTTTTATGGCCACATGGTCTTCAACAGGGTCTGGTGAACTCAGTTGACTTGGACACTTGGTGATGTGTTTTTCTTTTTCCATCTTCTTCTTCAGCTGTTTCATTCTCATTCTCTTGGTGGCCCAAATAATCAGGTTTAGGTGGCCAGGGAGGGCTGTAAGTATCGTAGCCACAATGAAGCCATCTTTGCTTATCAAAGTAGCTGGTGGGAGAAGGTTTCCATGTTGTCACTAGATTTCTGTGGGATGGAGTCAGCAGGAGGCTGTGAATGGAAATGTCACATGGGGCTGGTCTCACTTTCTTTCTTACTGAGCTCAGGCTGGAAACTGGCTCCATGAAAAACGATGGGGGACCTTCAGGGCTCTGCCCAGTCCCCTCCATCAGTGCCACATCCAATGCTGAGCTTGCTGTGAGAAGGACTGGACAGACTTGGTAATTAAAACTGAACGTCCTTTGAAATAGGCGTCAAGCTACATTTGGCATCCTGCGTTCATCCCTGTCACTACTAAGCACTAGGTCAACACCTCTCCTGTGCTTAGACACTAGCAGTACCAAAACCACCTGCTTTTTGCCAATTCCACCTGCAATTTGCTGTAAGTCAACCTTCCTCCTCCAGCCAGTGTCTCTGAGCAAGCATGCAGTGTGGGGACAAGGGTGGCAGGAGATGGAGGAGCAGCTAAAGGCTACAGTGAATAGAAACCAGTCCTGTGTAATTGCCGGTGGCAGGTCTACCTACACACAGCTGAATGTTTCTTGGTGGATAGGGATGGAGAATGACCACTTTATGCCCCCCAAATATTGCTGCTTTTGTGCCTCAAGCTGTCCGTCCGGGGTGGGGGGAGTGATACACTGGCATAAAACACCTTTTGGTGGGATTTTGGACTCCTCTGGACAGTCAGAGCAGCAGCTCTTAACTTCCTGAGCGTAACTTCTCTCACTAGGGCACTTCGGGGACAGTGCTACCCCCAGGTCTTTTCCTTGGTCTCTTTCTCATGTTTGATGCTCTGGTGGAAAGGGCACGTGCACTCTGGGAAGAGCAAGAATCAATACAGTGATAAGTGAGATAATGAATCAATATAGAAAAAGGGGGAGAAAATCAGCCTTCTGCTGGCAGATGGAGAGAAGCACTCTTTGGGGAATTAACAGTGCTGCTTTCAAAATCAAATCTTCACGTCCCATTTAGAAAGAATTCATTAATTCATTCCTTCTCATGCCTTGAGATTAAAAGAGTGAAATAACTTTATGGGTGGAGGTCGATGACATGGTTGCTTGTGACAGTGAAGGCCGGAGCTGATGACTGAGATGTCCTCGAGCTCCCTTGCTTTCCTGTTTCTGGACCTGATAACCGTGTCGCAGAGAGGTTATCGACCCCACCTCGTGAGCACTAGACACTAAAGGCGTCTGTGGAACCTCTTGGTCCACTGGTACGCTGCAATATAACCAAACTAATACCAAGGGACTTAGCTCCTAAATTTAGGCTCTTAAAAGGTTTTTGAAAATCTTGCCTGTAACATATAAATCAATCAATTATTAAAGAATCCATTAGTCAGTTATTGCCCCATTAGCTTTTTGTGAGTGGAACTCTTTAAAAGCTGTTTGAAAAGGGAAAAAAAATCCCAAGTGATAAAGTAACTATAATAAATAGCCAAAAATAGCAGAAGAAAGTGAGAGCAGAATTACACTGCCAAATATCCCACCTGTAACGCCTGCCCCTTGGTTTTGCAAGGGACTCATCGCCACCTCCTGGTAGATGTGCACTCCAGTGACTGGCATTGAGGCCTCACTGCACAGCAGTTATTTTTATCACTGAAGTAAAAAAGCCGAGGAATTGAATTCAAAAGGGAAGCTTTTTATTTTAAAAAAGACCCTTCCTTAACCTTCAGTGCTTGGTCTGCGGACCACAGAGAAGGAAGAACAGGTTTTGCCCGGGCACGTCTTCCCAGTTAAGCACTTCTGTTCTCCTCGTAAGACGCTGCCTGCTCTGCCGAGGCCGTCCACGGTGAGCTGCAGGTCACAGAGCGAGACATCAGCCAGCCTCACCCGCATGGGAAAGAAGACATCACACAGCTGTTCGCCTGGTTCACGCCGACCCCATCATGCTTATTGTGGAACAGAAGCCTTGGGATAGATAAGGGGGCGGGGGGGGCGGGGAGGGGGAGTTATTGGTTTTGAATAACTAAACAAATGCAGTGAAACTGCCACTGTGTTTCAGCAGTGCAGCCTCACACATCGTAATAAAACGTCTTGCCTTTAATTACCCTTGAAATATGGGGATGCTGAATGCTTCAGAGCTGCTTCTTTCACCCACCAATTTTGTTTACCAGACAACCATGCTGGAGCAAGCGATTAAAAACACCCAGGAGAGTTACGATGATGAAATTCAGCTTTACAATGAGCAGATTGAAAACCTAAGGAGGGGGATAGAGGAGGCCGAGAGGACCTTGGAGAAGTACACGACCGACTGCCGCCAGCTGGTGATCTACCAGCAGTCCTTGGAGAATGAGCTGGAACGGTACAAACGTGTCATCGAGAACGAGGACAGCCGGTAAGGCTGGATTTCTGGACTCTCCCAAAGGGGCCAGTGATCTCTTTTATATCTCCTTGAAAAATGTATGTTTAAGGGCATTTGATCTACCCAGAGCTACGGCCATTTCACACCTTTCACTGGTAGCTATCCAGGGACAGGAATCTAAATAGATGCAAAACCTGGTCAAGCCTCTGCCAAGGAAAGGGTGAGAGCCATTTTGAGCTTCTCCTTTCCATACAGTCTCCCTTCCATATACTGTCCTGGCATCAGCACACGGAGGTCAGGAGCACACGAAAGCAAACTGAACAGCCTCTCCACTGCCCGGGTGTTAGTGAAGCTTGCTGGGGCATTACAGGCAGGTTGATCTCGCAGGGCTCAGACAGGGCAAATGCCCTGTAAAGCAAAAACACTCTTCACAGCAACCCCATTCTTCAGGCAAGGGGGAAAAATGGGTCGAATGTAAGAAATTTGCAGGGATTTGGGTTGTGTTTAAACCTACGGAGGAGCACTGGCTCCCTCTAATGTCAACCATCAGCCTCACAGGAGAAAAGGAGCTGGGCTTTCACAGCAGCGCCCGGTGCCGCCTGTGCAGGCAGATACAGCAGGGCCAGACCCCGGAGCGCCCAAACCGCTGCTCTGGGTTGTCCAGAGGGTGCAGGGGAAGGACACTCATAAATAGTCAATCATCTCCCGTGTGGGGAACAGATATTTCATCAGTTTTCAGTGCCTCATTTTGGACACTGCATTCTGGTTAGGAGTATCTGATCAGGGTAATGCTCAGCGCCAAAAATCAAAATGTGCATCTATTGCATATCTGCAGAGGGTGTATATCCTCCCTACAGGCCAAAATATTCTCTCAAATTCTAACAGAGCAGATTGGAAAGGCCACAGATATAGTAACTGGTTTGCATATAGGCCAGCCTCTCAGTTTTAATTTTTAACCCATAATACCACTGCCTCCTCAAATATTTTCCGAGGAAGACTGCTCAGTTTTCTTCTTGCCCTTCTGAAGTTAGGCATATGCAGGTAACATTGTAACGGCTACCAAATTTCATATTTTACCGGCCAGCATGTACAGCTCTTGCTGACCTCTGGTAGGCGTGGATTGACTGCTTGCCCATCCAAAGTCTTCCCACCCTTTCAAAGTGCTGTCCTAAATTACAGACCTGTTGCTATTGGTTTTACTTACTGGTGTACTTTACCTAATGGAGCAGCCCACGTCTCCTGCTGGTGGAAACCAGCCTAACTCCTGCAAAGGTGCTGTGGCTGTGTTGATTTTCCCCAGACAAGAAACAGGCTCCCATCATTCTCTGTAATCCTCACCACAGAGAAATACATTTCTTTAACCTCCATGCTTCATTTTGCACAATATTTCACTTGCTTTTGATGGAAATGAGGGGGAGAGATCTGACCGATGCGCGTCTTCTCCGGCAGGTTAAACTCTGCTATAGCAGGAACGCCAGTCACACTCTTCACGCAGATCTATAGACCTGTCCAGCCTCAAGCTTCGAGGGGAAGAGGTAAACCTGTGACGTCTTCCTGTGTCTGTCAAGAGCAGCATCATTGTATTTTAAGCTGTTTTTTCCATTTATCTTCCAAACGAACCAGCCGTGACAGCCTGACTCGAGGCTGGCTAAGTAAATGCAACGATTTCAGCTTACCTCAGCTGGCTTTGGGACAAGCTGTCAAAGGCCAAAACCACAAGCGAAAGAGTTTCTTTGCTAATTTCTGCAATTTACTACTTAGGCCAATCAGTAGAGCAAAGTCAGAAGGCACCTGAAACTATGGAAAGAGCTGGGGGGTTTGTGCTGATTTGTTGCAAGTTGTTGGCCCACACTTTCGTCAGATGCAAAGAGCATCGGGGCATGTTGAGTGCTGCAGGCAGGCAGAGGACACTTTTTTGGGGCTTGTTTATGTCCCGTAGCCTGGTTTCCTCTGAATGGTGTTTCCTCCGTGTTGTATGATTGCTTGTTAGAATTAGGATGCTTGTAAACCTGGTGACAAGGAAACGGCCAGGACTAAGCTAGCAAGGCTGCTTGTAACAAAGAGGGGAGTTGGTTCATAGAAAGGTGCTGTAGGTACTAACACATGGGATGACTTACTATAGCTTAACTCCAAGGCTCACTGGGGTTTTACTAGCAACAAACTGCCCTGAGAACGGAGATAAACTGTCAAATGAGGTTTTTCTTTGGTATGCAGCTGTAATTTTTCTAACAATTACTCTGCGAACCATAGCAGTTTTATACGAAATGGGTCCATAATGCACGAGGCCAAATCCTCAGCCGCTGTAAATAACTACTGTCCTGCAAAGTGTTGTTTTATACCCACTGAGGATTCGGCCCGTCTCTAACCTAACCACACCTCTGCTTCCTACCTGCAAGGCAAGCAGGGCATTTTATGTGCATTACTGTACCTGTGACATTGCACAAAACTGGTGCCTTGGGGAAAGCATATTAGTATCTGTCTGTCCCTGTGTTCCCCTAATTCCCAGTACCAACCTCTGCCTCCTCTGCTCTAGCTGTTCATGCCACGGAAATCAGTAGCCTGCCCGCACTCCTGCTGCTGCTGCTGCTGAGCTGTCATGGGGGTCTGTGGCTACTGACTGCCCAGGAGATCAGAAACACAGCCTGCGGGCAGGGGTTCCCTCTGCGCAGGCCTAGAGCTCAACGTCACTGTTCGAGTGATGCCAAAATGTTGCTCCTCAGCACCGCACCACTGGCTGGGAGGCTGCTTAGCTCTGTCCTCCTGACCCCCCTCCCTGCATCTGCCCATACCCAAAATTGCCGTGACGGGAGGTGCCTGGCTCACTCTTAGCCCCCCCCCAGGACACAAAGGCGAGGCGTCCCCCTGCTGAGCCCGTCTTCAGAAGCGCTGGAAGACTTGGTGATGACACTCACCTTTCCCGTCAGGCCTGGACTGCTCACCCAGCAACCCTGCATTCAGCGGGAAGGTTTTAAATAGAACTTTTTTTTTGGGGGGGGGGGCGTTTCCTCCCTAAACCCTAGCAGGAGTTGTAAAAACCAGAAAAGCTATTTCTGCTTAGTCCTGCTGCCAGGCCGTGCCTCTAACTTTGGGCACCTGGCTTCAGTCTCTGCCTTAGGAGATGAGGTTTCTTGTCTAGTTAACAGGGCCAAACCCTGCCACGATGCCTGGGAGGAAGGTCCTGAGCCCGACTGCAGCAGCAGGTGCCGAACGCTCCTGCTGAGCATTAATGCAGGCCTGATAGGTGAACGTTTTGTGCAGCTGCCTCTCTTACAGGCACAGTTGTCCTGTCCTCACACTATGCGTGGCAGTGGCAACCTCAGATGCAAAATGGCTACTTGGCTGAGGGGGCCCACGCAAAAGAAGAGGCTGTTTAATGCGCTGATGGAAGCTGTGCTCACATTTACTGCTGCATTCAGCTCTCCACCTGCAGCAGTGAGGGTGAGAGGCAGCTCTAGCATTTGCAGCAACTGTGTTCAGCACTGTTTGTTGTTTGCTCTGTTTTGGTTTTTCCCTAGATATCACCCAGGCCGTGCAAGACATTGCCAGTGTAAAGCCCAGACAAAAAGCTCTGACAAAGAAAGTTGCCAGGAAAAAGGAGTTGATATCTAAAGACATATCCAACGGTCTCTCGCCTGAAAGAATGTACGAAAGACCTCTGGAAGGTTTTGACAAAGATCAGCTGGAGTTTGGGCATGAAGACTCAGTCACATGTGAAGCTGAGCAGGAAGGGTTAGAACTTGAGGAGAAAGAAACGGGCCCAGAGGACGTACCTGATGGAGCCCAGATAAGTAAAGCCTTTGATAAATTGTGTAACATTGTGAGGGAGAAAATAAGAGTCTACAAGAGACCAGAGCCTAAACCTGAGGCCCATCCCAAAGGGCGTTACGTGCTGGTAACAGGGGAGGAAAGCTATGAAGAACCGTGCATCTTGGCCCCCTCCGTCCCAGCTGGGGGAGGAATCACAGTTTCCACCAGCAACGGGAAGGTGATGAACGGTGGTGATGTGGAGCCCATACCAGAGCTGCCAGAACCTACTGAACCATCAGAAAAAGGGGTTATCTGTGAAAGGAGGGAAGAACAGAAAGAGGAAGAGAAAGAAGACGTGCTTGAATGGGACAAAAAACCAAGAGGAAAAATCGAGGAAATCACAAAGTATCTGGACATCTCTGAGCCTGAGACAGTTCCTTCCCCTGGTCTGATAAGCCCAACTGAGCCAGAAGTCCTTCGAGAGACAGAATATGATCGAGAAGATAAGCAGGGCCTTTTGTTCAGGGAAGCAGCCTTGCCTGGCTCCATGAGCTATGAGAAGGTGGAGGTGGTGGAGTCCATCGAGAAGTTTTCAGACGATAGAATTCAGACGTACGAAGAGACAGCGATGATTGTGGAGACGATGATAGAGAAGACAAGCAAGAAGAAACCAGGTGACAAAGGCTCTTAAGTGACACACACACACACACATACACCCCCCCTTGATAGTCAACTTGTCTGGCATAGTTATTAAATGACTGTTTTTTTTTCCTGACCGAATGATACAGTAGTGAGATTTTTGCTGTTTGGTATGGAACAGATAGGTACCTTGATGGCAATTCTGTCTGATGTAGGCTCACCTTTGGTGCAATGACTGTTAGAGTGCTCCAGGGCAACAAGTAATAGGCACATCCTATGCAACTGATTTTCATGATTAGGACAAGTTGAAATTAATTACTATTACAGAGCTGCCCGGCTTCCCACAGTATCCAGGAAAAATTTGCGTATTCCTCTACTGCTCCTATAGCTGCCGTACGATACCCCAGCTCTCAGACAGCTGCAAATGTTAACTTGTGACATCTGGTTCATTTAATAAAAGTTTTGCCTTCTACAGAAGATACCCACTGTGGGTGTGTGTTGCCTTTACCGTTGACTAATGGTCCCTACTAGTAGACGTCAACTGACTGGGTGTGCAGGAGTTTTTGCAGGGGAAGGGCTGGATACCTGTTAAATAACCCATTCCAAATCTCTCATTTACAGTCTTTAAATAGAGATGAGCTTGGCAGACCTTTCTTTTTGGATCTTAAGACAAACTCTCTGTATTTGAAATAAGCTCTCACTGCGTATCTTCTCAGAATAAAACTTGAAATTCCACCAAAGTGGGGGGTAACCCTTATAAAAGATACTACAGGCATTATTTGTCCTTCACCAACACGACGACGGTATTTACGAATGCCAACAAGCTTTTGAGCAGATTGCAGCCAACTCAAAAGACTGTGTTTTGGTATTCGCTTGTTAAGTATTTCCTCGGACTGTAGCATTTTACAGAGTTTAATACCGCCACGTGATCCTGTTGCAGCCCAGTCACCTGCAGTCCCATGGAGCTCCACGGGGTTGGCGGAACAAGCGGTGCCTTCTCACATCCCCTTGCCTGGGGAAGCAAAAAGCAACACTTGCAACAGCCTCTTGTAGCTTCCAGAAATCATTGACTCAGCTGGGGGGGGAGGAAAAGGAAGGCATCATGTGTATATGCGCAAATACTGAGCACATATTTGAAGCGCTGATGCATCATTTAGGCCTCAGCTTGACTTCAGGCATACAAATAATCCCACTAAAGCGAGGTACATACTGAAGTGCCTTACTAGGCTGGGCTCTGGACGTTCCTTCTCCCATCCCGGCTCTGTTCTCAAAGCTGTCATTTCAGCTTTCGGCATTGTTAGGCCTTTTTCTTTCTGGCTGATTACTCCTGTCAGCTGTGAAGGACAGGGCTAAACACCACTTGAGCTGACGAGCCTGAGCTTCAGGACTACTTTCTCACACCACCCAAAACTTTCCTTCAATATTGTGTTGTTGTTTTTTTCATTAGTGAGTTCCAATGCATTTGTAGCATCTAATCTGACTAGTATGTCTGGTGAAGTGGCACCTGCTTCTTTGAAAGAGGGACAGGTGACCCACATAGTCACATTTTTATTCAGGATTTTTTTGTCGATGCTGTTTTCCTGAAATGCTGTGGGCGTATATGCCAGACATTTCTTGCTAGGGTGTGTGCTGCTTTTCGGTTTCATTTATTAACAAACACCATAAATAACCGCAGAGAAGGAATTTATCAGTGCATACGCAGGCTGCGCTCTGGTGAGCTGGGAGCAACTGCTCAGAATAACTGCTGGTGAAAGCAAGTTTTGACTACTGCAAGGGGAAAAAAAACTACTGCAGTAATAGGAAGCCTGTTTAATAATTTTGTCACAAAACAGGGTGTAAACAGATTTAGACAGTACCTAGACTGAACTGGGTACCCCCCCCCCCAAACCATCCATCTGATTTCACTGCAATAGAGAGCTTAATGTTCAGAATACAAAAAGCCTTAGTCAATGGCAAAGAGGCAACACTTGAGGAGAGCCTGGGTTAGGTGTCTCGTGTGTGAATAGCCCCCGCCACCTTCATCTATTTTGTGCTGCGGTGTCACCACTCTACGCTGCTGGCATAGAAATGGTTTTCCGATGCTCGTAAACCTTGTTCAGCAGCTGGGCAGTATAAATACCACTCCTAAAGCGGGTTTAGTGGCATGTATTACTGAAGAAGTCACGTACTGCACTGCACAGGCAGCAACCCTGAGGTGCAAGACTCGAAGCAAGCTGGTGCTGAGCTGCAATCACGGACACCAACATCAGCGGAAGCCAAGGACCATGAGGAACTAAGGCCTAAATTCTGCTACGATCTCTGACCTGCCTTCCACAAACATGGCGGTTGCCCAGTAAGGCTGCAGCTGACAGGCATCTTTCCGTAAATTTGTATGAAAATTATATAGAAAAACACTAGTATTCTATTGTTCATAATGACAATGCTGAAGGATATAGTAAATCTCGTGATTTATGGGCTAACCTCTGCTTTAAATGCAGATTCTCAAACGCAAATTCTCAACAAAATGTTTAAATGCTAATGCTGAAGTGTAATGGTGAAATACTCGCGAGCACCTATTCAGCAGAGCCTGGGATGAGACCTAGGTTACTACAGACACGTTCTCGCCTCTGTGGCAAACAGAACTAGATCAGGAAGTTCCCCGTCATCTTTTACTGCTGCAGACATGGTAAGAAATTATGAAATGACATGTACCCTGTGCCATGGGAACATGTGAGCTAAAAAGTACCCGAAAGTGTGGGTGGGAAGTAGGGAGGAAGAGGAAATAGGGTTTTTTTTGTGGATCAAAGTGCTCCAAACAGCAGAAAAAAAGAACTGCTGTAGTATTTCCTCGGGGCCAGAACTACTTATGAAATACAGTGCAAAAATGTCACTGTCTCTCTTCCCAAGCGTCCCCTTCCCCACTGAGGGCAGCAGTTTGGCACCCGCATCGCTGCGTGCCTCTGCAGAGCTGCCCTTGGAGCCAGCGGGTTTGAACCACGTAAGTAATTCCCAAAGCTCTTCCTAGCCTGCGGCCTTAATCTTCTACGTCCCACCGTATCACAGAGTTAACATAAAGCCTGTTAGTCTTCATCTGTTGCTATCAACTCTTTTGGAGGATCATGTTTATTTTCGCAGTATCCGACATACGCGGGACACAAATGTCCTTATCAGTATAAAAAGCAGAGGCGTAGGAAGTCGTCCCACTCACAGCAGCGTACTACCTCCCGTGTACCTTCGGATAGGCAATGATAGGACCTGCCGGTTTACAACAGCTCTTTATTTTACTCATATTATAAAACATCATCACAGGGCTTTAGTTAAACAGTGTTCACCTGTTTCAAATCATGAGCTTCATTTAACACTTTATTATAAATACTAACAAATTAACTTTATTTTCCATCAGCAATACCATAAAAACTTAGTCTAACTGGACATATTTTTCAGCGATCCCCTGATGCAAAAATCCTGAAGAATTTGAAGTAGATCTCTATATTGCATATACACTTACTTTTATATATACTTATATCAAAACTCACCATTTCTGTATAACACTCATTATCGTGATCTTTCAGTTAATAAATTATGTCAGCATTATGAAAATATGAACAACCATCTAGTTATTTTGCTGCTTTAGAAGATATTTAATGATTGAACAGAGAACTGCAAAATTACATGAATGCAATGGGAAGTCATGTACACGTTCATTTAAGATTTCCACATGGACTTTTCATCTTCCAAAACTTCTTCCACATTTTGTCAGTCCTTCAAAAGCTTCCAGTTACCTCTTTCTTTGAACACATACACACAAAAAGTAATGATGTGCGTATGTGTATTATACATTACATACCATATGTAATTCTATATATATTTATAAGCAAATGTATGTAACATACTCCGAGTATACATATCGTATGTAATATATATACACAGAGAGAGATACCACAGGTGTGTCGTATGCATTTAGACATATAGGTGTGTGCATAAATATATATATATATATGGTAAATTCTTCCCTCTGATATGTATGCGCTGCTCTTCTGAGAACTGGGTGCCTTCCACAGAAACCTACTGCCGTCAGCGCGATCCATTCACTTCTAAAGACACAAGCAAACCTGTCCCTGACCCATTTAACGTCAGCGAGTTTTGGCTCATGCCTCATGAACTCCAGTTCATGCTTTGAAATGGACCCATCTTGTCCTTGGGTTAAGTTTTAAATCACCAAATTAAACACAGCTGGCACTATAATGTATTTGAACAAATATCCAAGAGCACTTCAAAAACGAAAATCAGACGGGGCCTGATTCTTCTGCTGATGCCTGTTTTATCCCAGTGTGACTCGATTGTCCGAAGGGACTGCTGCACACAACGAGGAACCTGTGAGTAGTGCGAGGCTGCTTGGCTTGGCTTTAGAGCGTAATTCACATAGACTTTGAGTAGGTTGAGCTGTTTATTTCGCATTTGGATTTGTAAAGGAAAGAACAGGCCTTTTATGGGAAGATAAAAGGTGGATATTCACTAGAAATAACAGCATAGATGATACATTCTTAAGTGGAACGTGTGCACCATATAACCTTTGGGTTACAGTTTTAATTTGTTAGATAAATATTTACTTACTGAATGTGTTTCTACTATGCACCTGATTAACCAGGACAACTCTTATTAAAACGTTTTAGATGAATACTCTGCATATTAAAAATACGTAATAAAATTCTGAAACTAGTCACTGCTAAAAAGTAGATCTTGGATCCTGCAAAGATCCAAAGCACCTGCTTAAAATTAGAATCTGAGTAGGTCCACCGATGGCCTTTACTGTGAGTGAGTGCCTAAATATTTGCAGAATCAAGACCCTTTATTATTCAAAGGTTAAATTTGGGATCTCACACCTGAGAACATGTAGTGGTTACTACCATGAGTAATCCCCACCGAGGAGAATGTTATGTCTTGCGGCAATAGCCAGAGCAGACTCTGAGGGCGAGAGAGACTGACTTTACTCACGTATGAAAAGTCAAGGTGGGACTGACTCTTTAAACAGCGAAGAGCAATGATTACCAACAAATCTTCCCAAACGCACTA